TTTATACCAGGCTGCAAAAATCGGGGGATGACTGTACAATTTTTACATCCAAATCAATTACTTCCTGTATTCCATAAAAGTGGAGACAATTTTCTCAGTACCGCGGGAAGCAAACGCCAGAATTGTGTGAAATTATTGCCAAATGTAGCCAATAGAACGACAAGTCGACAGGTATTTTTAGTTTTTTTATTCCTTCTTCAGTCAGATTTGATCCAGTTGTGCTCAAATCAAGCGTATTCGCCCTTGACGCGTAGATACAGCTAGCACCCTTCAGTACCGCTCCTGGCACCACCATCGGCAGTGGACTTGCTTAAATGTGCAAGGAATAAGACATCATGCGTTTTATGTAACTCCATCCCTCATTGAAACAGTATTCCAGTCATAACGTAGAAAACCAATTTAAGAACACTTTTTCCGAGATTCTGCCGTGGAAGGAACGAAGCTCAGCATGGATGCATCATATTCAAATTCCGAAAAGTGCTGGATGGGGCCAAAGCGGAGTTGATTGATACACCGAAACGTTAGCACTGTAAAGTTGTGAATTCTCTTTGTGCACTGTTTATGTGGTTTGAAGCGAAACAGGAAACTTCTCTTGGCATGGTTGTTAAACCCCCTCGCAGGTAATTCCCGGCCAGTAAATGACCAATCACAATCAACGATGGACTATGATGGTGTTAATTACGTTCTCTTGTATCAAATACTACGTACAGTAGTATAATACTTGTACGATTAAGTATTGACAGTGAGCTTGTCGGACAAGTAATACAGCTTTTATATTACTCGAGTAGTTGCACTTAACTACTAGTACTTGAACACTTTATACATATCATTATTAAGAGGTTATGAGAATTTTGTCACCCGAATCAGGGATACATTAACCAAGTGACTTACTGGCCGGGAATTAGATTCGCAAAACGTTAGGAAAATTTCAATTTAAGAAATTCGACGAGCCAAATGAGGGGACCTGCATAAAGTTATAAAGCTCGTCACGATCTTCAAAATGCGTGTTTTCGCAGCCTCATCGGATGAATGGGTGACGAGTTATGGCCCTCAGAAAGTAGGCCAATATGGCCGGGAATTACATGAAGCACCTTACTGTTAGTACATCGATGCTTTTACTCTGGAAAAAGCAGGTCGATCTTGCACACGTTGACTTACTAACGTTAATACGCCCCTATCGCCATATACAGTAAGACGAAACATCAACTAACTGTAAAGTTAGTGCAGTGTTGGGGGCACCAAACGAAATTACAAAGTTTGCGGCCACTTCGAATGACTGTTTATGAAGTTTGTTTCGATTCTTGGGAAATAAAGATTGACTGACATGTGACTATTCTCCAAGGTGAACGAACTTCAGTGTGAATTCTTCGCTAGTTTATTGGCCAAAAAAGAATTCGACAAACTCGATTCGAGCCACCCGATGGTAACCCTTCGTTATGTTTACCCCCCCACTCTCACGACTG